AAGAAATCCGAGTTTTTACCCACTAGGACACCATAGTTTTTAAAAAACAGCTTGGCCCGACAAGTAGACCCGAGAACCCAGTGAGCCGACCACTAAGACGGTTTGGCTATGTAATTAGATCGTTTAAGTAAAAAAAATGGCTTCAAAATTTGTCAAATTGGATGATTTAGAAAAAAATCGTAAAATCAGACGGTTTAAAAGAAACCGGGTGGGCGTCAGTTGGTGTATAAAATCAAAGAAATTGGACATTTTTTGCCCTAGTCTGAATTTCTTAACTCTCACAATCTGTCTCTCTGTCCATTCTCACTCATCACCGACTCTCCCTCAATCGCCACCAGCCACCATAACAACACGACTTCTAACTCCGATACAATTCGAGTTTCCTCCCATTTCTCTCACTCCTGTGGCCCTAAAATCTCAAGAATCACCTCTTATCTCTCATTGATCGTCTCTCGTTGTGTGCATCCCATCTCCCTTCTTTCTTACAAGTCACACACCAAACTGGAGATTTTTGTGATATTTCCTCTCTTAGTGGTAGCAATGCAAGAGAATAAAAGGTAAATTTTTCTCCTTTATGTTTTGTAATTATTTAACTCCATTTTTTTTTTTAAATTCTTTTTTGTCTGGGCTTGTGCTTCTGGTGTTCAATTTGGATTTGTTTTGTTTACTAGAATTATTATTATTATTATTTTAGATGTCATTGTTGGTGTTCGATTTGGGGATATTGACTCTGGTGGTTGTACTTGTTTTTGAGTTCTTTAATTTAACACCCTGCTTTTGATCTCACTTGCATTGGACAATGACTATGTATTGGATCAAAATTAAATCAATATAAAAATTAGGGAGTCATTTAATTTTTATGGCTTTTTAAAATTTTTTTACAATATATATAATTTTTAAATTTTTTTTTATTATATGACTGGTTCAACCAGTGATCCGACGTTTGAATCTAGGACCCATTAATCCGAACACTTTATCGAGTTGAGGTCCAGACTAGTTTTTTAAATTATGGGGCCGACAGCTCGTTGGTAGTTAACCTAAAAGTCTTTTGGAAGTCGGTTCACCAAATTAAACATATTCGTAAAAAATATATAAACACAAATATTTTGAAAAAACAGTACACATTTCAGGATACAAAAGACATAAATGCCCATTTTGTAAAAAAAATTTCTAAAAACTTTAACAAGACATTTATTAAGCGCTGAAATTTAAGGTCATTTAATTCAAAATCTCTTATCTTTAATGCACCTTGATTCATGCGTATTTTCTTTTTTAAAGTGATTTTATTATCAAATTATATTTATGCATTAAATATTTCTACTATTAGTTTTATAGGAGAATTTTAATATTTCATTTATTTTACAATATATCATTTTTTTGAATTTCAAAATTTGTTAATATCCGAACTCTATAATAGTGTAACAAAAACAGTGTAACCAATACACTGTAACAAAAAACAGTGTTCAATAGGTTTGTACATGTGATAACAAATTTCAAAACGGAGATGGACTATTTTGAACGAAATTATATGAAAATATATGTTGGATAAAATGTAATAGTACAATATTTTGTGTAAATGACTTGGTACACTGTTATTGTTATATTGTCACACTGTTTGAATATTAATACAATTTGAAAACAAAATCACTTTCTAAAAAAAAAAATACTCATGAATCAAGGGAGGACATACAAATATAGAATATTAAAATTCTCCCATAAAATTAAGAAATATTTAATGCACCACTTTCTAAAAAAAATACACATAGATCAATGGAGGACAAAAATATCACAAAAAAATCAGTAAAATTCAAATAATATACTTAGATACAAATAAATATTAAAATTAAAGACTCAATTACCCAAGTTATATCACCCAAAAACCAGACTTTTAATTGAAAGCAGAAATCCAGAATCATAAGAAAATAATACATTTCCAAATGAAGATCCAAGTTATTTAAAAACAAAATATAAAAACTAGAAAAAAAGAACCCATTTGTAAAGAAACCCATTGGAGGCCGGCCCCCATTTTTACGCCAAATGGCCGAATTTTCTTATCAGAAGCAGGCATCTAATAGGCAGCAACAGCACAGACCAGCCAAACTGCACATTTTTAAAGTCAACCAATCAACATCAAATCAAATTAAAGAATTCTACCATCTTCAAATAATAATAATAATATCCGATAGAACGTAAACATATATCTGCCTAAAATCAACAAGGGAAAGCGATTCGTGATTCCTAATTCCTCCTAGTATTGCAAAGCAAATTGGCCACCATCATCCATTACACAAAATGCTCATATTGCTACTTCAAACATAATTTACCACAGATAGTTGAAATTATAAACAATATCTCCAAAATTCTGTGATATACAAAAAACAGTAGCAACCATTGATGCGATTATACAAGTATGCAAGGGATATAATTTTAGCGAAAAAGAAAAGCTTATTCCTTCCATCATTAAGCATGTATATCCAACAAAACTCAATACTGCCTTGAAGTGTTTGACCAACATTTTTGTATATATATAACCCACACCAGGTCTCATTATTGGGTCACGATATATTGTATCACCATTTCATTTTTATATTTACTCACATGGATGGATTCTTAACAAGCCTTACCACCCACTCCTTGTTTTACTCTCTAATGTTTGACCCCAATTGTTTTGTACAGCAAGATAATCACATGCACAATACAATGCTCAGGTTAATGCAAATTGCACACATTTTTTATTTTTTATTTTTCAATTGAATCGATGAAAAGGTTTTTCCCAATTCCCATACTAGAATTCCTTTTTTAGAAATCATATATTAATTTTCCGGTTATGACAAAATTAAGGTCTAAAAACCCGAAGGGTCAGCTCAAATGGTAAGAGAAGACTTCTCTGGCGGCAACCAAGAGGTCCCCGTTTTGAGTCTTAGGGCCACCTACCTAGGGCATAATCCCAACGATTTACCTGGCGCGTGTGGTTAGTAGGGTATTGCACGAGCTTGGAGGATTTCTCCGTCGTTGAGTCTGACAATAAATTGTTGGAGTTTTCTCCGAGTTACCAAAAAAAAATTAAGGTCTAAAAATGTCATCCTATAAATTATCCATTAATGGTACATATCACCATTTCATTTAGTATTTACTCACATGAATGGATTCTTAGCACACTTATCACCCTCTCCTCGGTACTCTCTAATGCAATGATGTTTTGTAAGGGAAGAAAATCACACGTACAATGCTCAGGTTGATGCAAATTGCACACAAAATATTATTTTTATTTTTATGTTTCGTTTGATAGGAAGGATGAAAAGCAGGAAGGATAAACTTTATATCCTTCAAGGATGAAAAATAGGAATAATACACTTTCCTTCCTTTGTGATTTGTTGAATAGATGAAAAATAAAAATTACTAATTTTTTTTTAGTGCTGACTAAGATTAGGGGTAACAATCAAATCGTGTCGTGTCAGATTCATGTTGAGTCAAAAAATTATGAATTTTTATATTTCTTATTAGCATGTCAGGTCATTTTTAAGTTTGTGTCGAATTATAATCAAGTTTGTGTCATAAAATTCGTATTGAATTCGAGTTGCGTCATCATGTTGAGTCAAAAATTTTCACCCCTGGTGATGAAAAAAATATTTTTTTAATTTAAAATTTTAATTTTATTTTTTAATTTTTTTTGATTTATTATTTTTAATATATATATATATTTTATCATTGTATTTTTATATGAAATTAGTGTATACATAATATATCTATATAATAAATTAGCTTACAATTCAAATCTAAAAAAATAAACAAAATGACTTTTGCAATTCGCGATTGAAATCGTTTTAAATTTTAGTTCAAAGTTAATCTAACGGTTAATATTAACACCCTAAATTTAATAGGAAAAATAGACCCTAAGAGTGTGTTTGGAATGACTTTTTAAAAGTATTTCTACAAATTATTTATCAGAAGTACTTTAAAAAAAATAACGTTAGAAATCGTCCCACCACTATTGCCACCGCCATCACCACCACCGTCGCTACCATCCAACCACCATCACCACCACTGTCGCCATTGTCGTCGCTGCCACCACAACAACCGCTGCCACCACCGTCATCACCACCGCCGCCACCGTTATTGCCACCCAGCATAACTATCACCGTCTTTTACTACCACTACTGCCGCTCATCACCTCTTATCCCCACTATAAATCAATACTTAAATTTTTTTATTTCTTATCTATGTTTGTAATTTAATTTTGGATATAAATACAAATATATTTATTATTTACTATTTTTTTATTACTCTATGTCTTTAGGCAGAGATAATAATTAATAAAAAAATAAGATACATCTCAACACAAATAATTAATTTTTCATCTATTTTCTTTTGAATTTTAGAGAGATTGATTTTGGTAAGTTGAAAAAAAAATTAATTCATCCATGTTTTTATTCTTTATATTTTTCTTATTTATTAAACATAATATTTTATTTATCTCTCTAATTTTTTATTATTTTATTTTTTTATCGTATCAAACGGAGCATTAAATTTTCCAATTGAATCCAGGAACAGGTTTTGCCCAATTCCCGTACTAGAAATCTTTTTATAGAAATCATCCATTAATCTTCTGACAAAATTAAGGTCAAAAAATGTCATCCTAGGAAAAATCTATCAATCGTACACTTTCAATCATTTTGTCAACCAAGAAACAATCGAAAAATGTCACAAACCAACAAGATATCACCTCTGGAGCTTAATTACCAAACCACCCTCCTAAACTGCCACTTCTAAAAGGGCATTATTGGAATCTAGATCTCAAGAACGACCAAAAGTTTTCAAATGACGCGATCTCTTTCACCATAGAGATCGACGGAGACGCCGATCGCCTGTGGCCATGGGGCCCAACCCAAAACTCCACACAGCGCACGTTAGCAAGCACACACCGGCCATGGAATGGACCCTCTAATAACCCAATCGCCAAGATCTGACTCGAACAATCAATATATGTATATATATACATATTCTAGGCATGCGCACAAAAATCTAGAGAGGAGAGGGAGATGGTGATAAGGGGGGCTTACCAGCCTTCCATGAGAGTAGTGCTGCTAGATGATTGTTGTTGAGGGGGTGGTGGTTGGGCATACTGAGGGGCGTATTGGGGAGGATATCCCTGAGGAGGGTAGCCCTGTGGAGGATAGCCCTGGGGGGGATAGCCTTGTGGTGGGTACCCTGGTGGAGGGTATGCGTCCTTGGGGTACCCTTCTTGAGGATAACCTACTCAAACCCCCAAAAACAAAAACACAATTCAACCCACAATTCCATCAGATTCAATCAACCAATAACCCACAATCTCCAAAAAAAGACAAACCCATATCAAATCTATGATTGACAGATCAAATCAAATCACAAAGAAAGGAAAAGAAAGAGAAAAGATTGGTGGATTTACCTTGGGGAGGAGGGACACCAACAGGGGGTTGTTGCTGATTGTAGTAACTCATGTTTTTTTGTGGGTGATTTTGAGTTTAAAGATTCTTGATTTTGTGTCAAAGACTTTCTGGGGAGAGATAGAGATAGAGATAGAGATAGAGAGAGAGATTGGGGTTTTGGGCTTTTTATAGGGGGGTGTCAACGAGGAGATAAATACAAAAGGGTGGTTATATGTACGAGGGAGGAATCCGTAGACAACAGGGAGGTTATATTTATGAGGGAGGTTATGTGTAGAAAACGCGTAAAAGTAACTTAAGGTCACTTTCCAAATTTATATTGAGAAATCGTGCAGCATTTACTAACTTTGGGTTCTCATCCAAATTAATGTGGTTCATTAATGGGATTTCTAGAATCTCAAATTGAATGCACCTAGGTTTTTTGATAAGTTTTGGATCATAATTAGGTGTATTGTCCCGGCTAAGGTAGGTTTGTGTAAAAAATTATTTTACTTATATATGATTTATTTATTTATTAATTTATGTTTAATGAATTGTGTCATATCAAATTCAAGTCGTATATAAGCAATATGTAAACATATTATGTATTTCTTTTAATTAATTTCACTTACATTTGATTCGTTTATTAATCGTGACGTATCGAGTTTACTCATTTACAAATCGGATGGTTTAAAAAAGATTCAAATATTTTAATTTCATATTTTATTTATATTGTGTTAATAAATTATGTCATTTGACATCCGTGCCCAAAATCAAGATGGGTCATTGGATCTATGTAAAGTTGAAACAACTCATTAATAGGAATGGTGCCAAATTAGATTGATTTTGACACAATCATCATCCTATTTTTTTTAGAAGCAGATAATTTATGTTACACACTTGACTAAATTATTACATTGTCCCATCATATCAGCGTGTAAATGAGATTTAATACAATTGTCTAGTTTATTTGATACATGAGTTAATTTTTTTTCAAAAAAATATTTTGTCAAATTGACAATTGATATTGGATATGTTTGAACCTGAATTTTTTTAGATAAAAAATTGTGCAAAAAAATTAAAGTTAAAAAAATCACCAAAACCGTTTAGAGTATCCTTTAAAAAGCGAAAAAAATTGAAAAAGTCCGTTTTGAATGATTGTCTACCTTTTTTGGTTTTTTATGTTAAAATAAAAAAATAATTAAATATATGTATAAATTATGCATAATGGTTCCTAAAATATGAACTTCAAGTTTTTTTATATCACTAATAATATTTTATGAATATATTAAACTAAAAAGTTATGCAAGACTCGCAATAAAACTCTAAAAAAATTAGAAGAAAAACTTATAAAATTGGCTTCTTGAATTAATCTAAATAATCTTTTTTGGGTCCAAAGAACTGTTATATAAACTAATAAAAAAGTCAGGTCGAAACGAACCTGTTTTATTTAATTCTAAAACCCTTAAAAATTACAAATTTAAACTCACTCCAAACAGGTCCAATTGTGCAATGAAAATACTTGATTTTTCATTTGTTGATATTATACAAAAGAATCATTAAAGAATGGAAGTGTTTATGCTTTTTGTTTTACTAATGTAGATTCTTTGCGTCCAACCAATTAAAGATAGATATTATTTAGTTGGAAAGACTATCATCTAACCACTACTAACTTGAAAGAAACACATGTTCACATGGCAAGTGGATGGGGAAGGTTTTAAGGCTGCATCCGGTGTTTAGGCATTCTTTACCAAATCTTGTGACAAACCAGCTCATTTCTTAGCTCCAAAGACATTGACAACCTCTTTGCTACCTCATTTCTTAACTCTCTCTCTCTCTCTCTCAAATTCTTTTTAATCTTGCAACACAAATTCGAGTGTCATATTAGGGGTGATACTATAAGCATCCAAACGATGACATTGACATCTAAACAACAATTACTACAAAAAAGGGTAGTTTGAAACCCTAAAAACTAAAATGCACAAAATCAAAGTCAAAATCAAACATATCGCCCTTGAAAAACCTACTTGAATAATGTATATGCACACATTATTATGAAGTATATTTTATAGAATAGAGATGGAGCGAGAAATGGTTGTTTGGTGGGATTTAGAATTCAAAAATAAAATGTTGAGAGAGAAAGGTCTTCTAGAGGCTCTGATTGGTCATTAAAAATAAATGGAGCTTAACTAAAGTTAAGCCTTTTTAGTGGCCATTCATAACAAATTGAATCTAAGGACAATCAAGGCACAAAATTAATTTGGGGCCCCAGTAATTCAAATATTTTAGGCAGCCATTTTAATTGTTGTAGAGTAATCTATTCATTGGTAGGGCATTTCCCTCTATAACCACGTTTCCTACCAAAAAGCTAACTAACTAAATTCGGGTTTTTTTCTAGGCTAGACTTCATAACTATTACTCTGTCTAGCACATCTTCTTGCCCGCTTGGAATTCTCTCTGCCCGGTTTTACGATCAATCTTAGATTCATCTATTTGAGGGACATCAAATTCTGTGCTATTCTAATCTAATCCTAGTGTCGGCCCTAGTTACGGACAAACTCAAATAAATTCCATATATGAAATCTCTCACCAAACAAAATTAAATAGGGATTAAGAGAGTTATAGAGAATGGAAGAGAGAAAACAAAACACATTTTACAACTATGTGATACTCTGACGGGTTTTATCTTACTATTATATCAGGTTTGGTGAGTCAGTGATTATATTTATGATTTTTTGTTTAGTGTTTTTTTTTTTGATACTATGAGTTAAGTCCATACTCGGTGCTTTTATTGTGTTATGGTTTCTCATTTTACCATTGATTTATGTTTTTAAGTTTTTTTTTATATTTATTCTTAATTTAACGTGAAATTGAATGCAATAAGCCTACTTCTAGTTTTTACTAGCAATGCAACACGATGTGAATAATTTTTTTAAAAAAATTAATAAATAAATATTTGATATATATGTACTTGAATTAAATATCATATCAAATTTACCAAACTTATTTTTTCATCTCTCATGCTCCACTATAAAATTTTTAAAAATTTTGTATATTTTCAAGATTTATTGTTCTAACTTTAAGAAAAATAATAACAAAAAAGAAAAGAAATAATCAAAGTTCTTTTTGTTTCTATAATTTTGTAATTGAAAGTGATTTTTTAGTGATGTTTGAAAATTAAATTTTAAAATTAATTTGATTAAGATTTTACTTATAAATCATTGAATAAAATAAAAATATTATCAATATGTCAAGCATAATGAAACCTTATTGTATTTAGGATTAATTAGGTTAATTAAGATAAAATTTAATATACAACGCTATAATATATATTATAAAGCATACTAAAGTTTTAAAAAAATTCAAGTTTTCACATAAAATGTTGACATAGTTTAAAAGGTTTACTGTGACTAAAAAATTATATAAAATTATATATACATTATTTTTTATCTTACAAATGAAATGGTTAAATATTTTGATAAAAAATAAAATATGCATATGTAGTCATAATATTATTTTTATAAATGATATGAGTAATATTATATTGATGGAGCTTTTAAAAGTTTTTTTGACTATTTTGTTAAAACTTATAATAATGCATATATTTTTTACGAGTAATATAATCAATCAAAAAGTTTCATAAAAATTGACATTTATAAATAGAGAATAGATAATTAGAAAATTAATAAATCATTGAATAAAATAAAAATAATTATCAATATATCAATTATATTGAAACCTTACTCTATTTAGAATTATTTAGGTCAATTGAGATAAAATTTAATATATACAATGCTATAATAGATATTATAAAGCATATTAAAATTTAAAAAAAAATTAAGTTTTCACATAAAAACTTAACACATTCTAAAAAATTTATTACGACTAAAAAATCATATAAAACTATATATACATTATTTTTTATCTTAAAAATGAAATGGTTAAACATTTTGATGAAAAATAAAATATAAATCTATAGTCATAGTATTATCTTTATAAATAAAGTGAGTAATATTATATTGATGAAATATTTTAAGTTTTTTTTAAATATTTTGTTAAAACCTATAATGATGCATATATTTTTTTTAAGAATAATATAATCAATCAAAAAATTTCATAAAAATTGACATTTATACATAGGGATATGATAGTAATTTAGATATTAAGTGTAAAAGGATAAAATGGTCTTTTTAACCCTTTATAAGAGTAAACTAATAAATCAAAAAAAAATTATGTTAAGATATTTTTATTAGTAGTATAGATTTTCTCTGATAGGCCTCTATGTAAATCGACATAGATATAATTATTAATCAAAACTTGTAATTAAAGTGCCTTCCCAAGACTGAATTCATGACTCAGCTCCTACTCTCTGGCATTGCTAAAATGATGAAATGACAATAGAGGTTGTAGCAACGATAAAATTGTTGGGAGGAGGGAGTTGTTTAGTGGTAAGGGTTTACTTTCACCCACAAGTGATTATAAACTCGAATCTCATCTCGTTCATTGTCCTTTCCATTAAAGGAAAAAAAAATATAGAAATATTGTGTTTTTATTTGTTACATGCTTAGGTGTTATTCTTTCGGATCATTGTTGAAGAGTCGGGTTGCTCACATGATTCCTCAACTGTTATGTTTTTTGTTTTGTGTCATCAACTATGATCATCAATTTTTACATTGTTTTAATGATTAACGACCATTCTAAATTTGAAGAAAACTCAAAATTCATAAACATATTACATCCAAATGATAACAAATGTTTCTCAAAATTCATAGACATATTTCATCCAAATGACAACAAATGTTTTCTTTGGGTCCATTTAGTTAGAAAGAAAAGAATGATAGAGGTGAAAATGATAGAAAGTAAAGTGAAAGAAAATAAAATAATATAAAATATATTTTTATGCATGTATTTAGTTAGCATAAAAATTTTGTAAGAAATTTTTTTAAAATTTTTATTCTATTGTTTTAAAAAAAAAAAAGAAAAGTTACAGAAAAAAAATTTTAATTGTCTAAATTACCCTTAATTATATTAAATCAGGTCTAAAGAAAAAAATATGCATTATAATTGAAAGTTAA